TTGTGAATTCAACTTTGACATATGATGATGTTATATTATACTCCATCTTTCACAGTATGTCTCAAGGCAGTTTCCAACAGGTAAATAAATGTAGTTAACAATTATATTATACAAAAAATAAAGATGCAATTAAGTTATATAAAAAAATTAAGCCATTAAAAGGAAAACTACAGATAGAAAATAAGCATGTTATTAAAAGTATTTCCTGCTTGAACAGACAGTCTTTAAATGCCTGCTAAAATATAAAAGTCTGTTCCTGCCTGCAGAACAATAGCAAGAAATTCTTTTTGCTTTCTTCCTGCAGGTAGGAAGAGACTTTTTATAGTCTCTCAGGCACTTCCAGTCCCTTACTAAAGAGGACAGACTGGTACTGACCAATGTATCCTCTCTGGTAAGGGACTGGAAGTGCCTGAGGCACTATAAATGAGATGTCTACAAGACACTCTGTTATTAACAGGTCTGCTGAGCTTTTCAGGATCAAAGTTTCCTCAGTTTATCCACTTGTAATGCAGTCTTCTTTTCCTATTGCCTTCCACTTCTGAAAAAATATTGTCTTTCCTAATGAGCCATGCCATTTCATTACATGCCCAACATATGATAACCACGGGGCCCTTCTACATTCACACTATAATGCAGTTTGAAGTCAGGTGATGTGGCAATTTTTTCAAAAATCCAAGTTCAGCCCAAAATGGGCAGCAGCTGATTCCTGTATATTCCAGATCCAGATTGAAACGAGCTCCAAAAATTATTGATGCATCCTAGGACACAGAGAGACCAGGGTTTGAATCTCTATCTGCCCTGACAACCTACTGGACAACCTTGGGCAAGCCATACTTTTTCAACTTCAGAGCAAGGCAAGAACACCCTTATATGAACAAATTCTGCCAAGAGAATCCTGTGATAGATTTACCTTAGGGTTATCATAAGTCAGAAATAACTTGAAAGTAAATGATTGCCAAGGCAGTTGTGGTCTAGGCATTAAAATGGGTGCCTGAGTGGTTGTATATGGGAAGGTACCACCCCACCCCCCTCAAAGCAATCTTGTCATCTTCTTTCCCAGCACAGGAATAGACATTAGTCTCCTGTGGCATATTTGCCTAACCTGGGAATATATTTATTTTCTAGTGAAGGTTGTTTTGGAATGCACTTCCCAAAGGAGTGTGCCACTCAGATTTTTCCTTTACCTATACTGGGTATATTATGCTTGTTATTGTTGTTGTTGCTGTATGCCTTCAAGTCATTTCTGATTTATGGCTACCCTAAGGCAAAACTATCACAGGATTTTTTGAGGCTGGGAATGTAATTCACCCATGGTCACCCAGTAGGTTTCCATGAGCAAATGTGGACTCAAATCCTGGTCTCCAATTATGTGTTCAAACCACCACACCATGCTGGCTCTCTTGTTATAGTCAGGTTACCTCAAATCAAAATTTCTTCCTATAGAAATTGAGTGCCTGGATAGGCTAGTCTAGGACAAATCACCAATAGCCTAATCTTTTTTACAGGTTAGTTGTGAGGATAAAATAAGGCTTTTCCATATGTAGAACTGTCTTGCTTCTTAGATGAAAGGTTGACCATAATTCTGATAAATCAAAACGCAACTTCTCCTTTGTGCTCCGCTCCTCATTCTGAGAACCTGCCTTTTTTTCTTCCCTGTGCCTCATGTACCATAGATAGAACATTGAGCACAAGATTCTGTAGAGGAATTCTGCCAAATTGTCATTAGATTTATGTTTTTTACGAAGTAAATTCTGGCATATAAGACTACTTTTTAACCCAAGAAAATCTTCTCAAAAGTCAAGGGTTGTCTTATACGCGGGAGTCATCTTATACACTGGAGTCATCTTATACACTGGAGTAGCCTTATGCATGGGAGTCATCTTATATATGGGAGTAGTCTTATAGAGCGGGAGTCGTCTTATAGAGCGGGTGCTGAAACTTCCAATCCGGATTGGAGAATCTGTGGTTGCTGCATATAGTGGGGGGAGCTCAAAAATGACAGTGGCCACATCCCTGCCATATGCAGCGACTGTATGAAACTATTAAGGGTGACACTGTACAAGTATGGTAGAAGAAAATCCATTCATCAGGATTTGTGGACTTAATGTGGTCCCGATGGTGAGGTGAAGGGGCGCCTCACCGGGAAGGTGTAAGTGAAGGGCGGAGCAAGCTGCAGGCATCCGGGGCACCCGGGGTATGGAAAAAAAAGTGATAGAGTGGCTCTGAGCCTAGAAAAACACAACTCTTTTACCTGTCTAGCCTGCCTTTGTATCCTATTACCGTACCTGCTCCTCTGCCTCTCAGATTCCGCTCCTAAAGACTGCAGTGAAGTGGTGCAGGTGCGCATGTGTGAGATCTGAGAGGCAGAGGAGGTACAGTAATAGGAAAATTACCACATTGAAATCAAATCTGATGCTTTTAAAAAATTTATTTGGTGTGTGTTGGAAGAGGGGTAGTCTTATACGGTGAGTATATCCCAAACTCTATATTTTAACTGGAAAAGTTGGGGGTTGTCTTATATGCCTGGTCATCTTATATGCCAGAATATATGGTATATATATCTTAAATAGGACAGGCATAAATACAAGAACATGCTGTGTTGTTTTAAAAAACCCCATTCAATCTCTGCAATTATCTGCACTCTAAATAAACTCTTGTTGACATCAATATGGTCATTGTTTGACTCATTTCCACAGAGGAGCTACATAGATCAGTTGGTAGTAACTCCCACAAGATCAAAATTTCCAAAAGAAGTAAACACAGTGAGGAATAGGTAACCTACACAGTGGAGTTGTGGTAAAGGATGTGTGCCTGTACTGTGGTCTGTGATGTTTCTGTGGACCCCAGAATGGTTTTTAAGGTGTAGGGACCTAACATTAGCAGACATGTTGTTATTAATTTTGCCTATGTGTAGGTACATTTTTTTACAAATCAATGAAAGCTCAGATTGTATTACGTGCGAATAACAGACAGTAGCAACTGAAGCAGAACACTGAAACCAATGGGAAAATAATAAGTGAAATTGTACACTATAATTTATGTGTATAATATATCAAGCAAAGGGAAAACATATGTAAGACCCTATTAAGTAAATGCCGAGATACCTATAAGATCTACAATCGCATCTTTTCCTCCACTACACTAGTTTAAAAGCAAAAACTGTGGCAATATGTTACAAAATATATGGTCACGAGTATATTTTCAAAAGAAAATATGAAAACAGTATCCATGCTAAACATCCCTTATCCTGAATTCCAAAACATGAAGTATTCCAGAAGCCAAAATTGTCCACATAGATGGCTGAAATAGTGACATCTTTGATTTCTGATAGTACACAAACTTTATTTCATGCAAAAATTATATAAAATTTCCAGCATTGTATGTACATATCATGTGTGTGTTCAACATCAATGAATGTTTTGTTTAGATTTGGGTCCCATCTTTGTTATGTACATATATGCCAATAGATATTCCAAAATCCCCCCAAAACCCAAAACACTTCTGGTCCCAAGTATTTTTGATAAGGGATAGTCAACCTGTATCAAAGAAATTTGGAGTTGGCAGAGAGTACATTATTCCTCTGTCAGTTATAATGTAGTCTTCATTAAATATGAAGACTCTTGCAAATACAATGCGTATTTCAAAGGTCTCCCTTCCCATGTTCAGCAGACTTGACTGTTCATGGGAATCTCAGCTACATTAGCTGTCTACTATATTAATAGTTGTGTGTGTGTTCTTGATTATTTAGTGTACATTTCATAATTCCTAAGGGTTTTAGTGATGCAATTTATCTCACTGTCTCATGGAAGACCCTTCTGGCTTAGAATTGGGGACTTAATCCCCCCCACCCCTTGTTGTCCGTGTTCCAGAGGCCATTAATATCTCTTTAAAATGAAGACAGTTAGACAATTCCAAACTTGTGTTAAAGGTGTGGTCCCAGGGTGGATAATAACTATGTTCACCAATGAGTTATTGTTCTCAGCATTCTCCTGAGGTTCAGTATACAAATTCAGACTGACTCATCATGAGTAACTGCGTTTCTTGGTTTCCATGTCAACAATCTGTCTATCCCAGAAAATATCTTTACAAATGATAGATACATGGCAGATAAATAATAGATAAAATGTACGATAACATATACAGTTTAGATCTGATGGCTTTGATGACTTGGAAGCCTATGTATATAGTAGAATCACTTGTTATGATCAAATTATTTTCCTTTAGAAAAGTAATGGAGAGATTTATTTGCATTCATAGATATACCTCAGTTAACAAAGAAGTGTTCCTAACATAAGCTATTTTTACAGTCTTTTTACACTTACCCAGCCCTTCCCCCCTTGTCTCCTGTCTAGCTAGATGTTTTCAGCAGCAAATACAGCATGTTAATACTAAATTAGACGAAAATAGAAATCACTGCCTAAGTGTAGGATACTACATTTCATGTTGTTGAAATTTATTTTTGATAGTTTTGACCCAGTTCTCTAATCTGTTAAGGTCAGTTTGATCCTGTCTTCTGAGTATTAGCTATTCCTCCAAATTTGGTGTCATCTGCAGATTTCATAAGCATGCCCTCTAATCCAATGATTCCGAAACTCTAGTCCTTTTAGGCTTCATCTACCAGAAATCTCAGGTGCTCTGGTTAATAATCAGGGTTTCTGGGCAACAACAACAACAGCAGCAGCAGCAGCAGCAGCAGCAGAGCTTGACTGGAGAGTAAACGGTAGAGAAGGAGGGAGGAGAAAACAGTCCCAAACTGAATATGGGCATGGGAAATGTGTGGTCATAAAGGTGTGGTGCTAAGGGGGAGATTCTATAGCAGCTCCAGGGCAGAATATTGTGACAATGCATTTTGGATTACTTTGATAAGGTAGATAACCTTTTAAGATATATTTCCTCATCAGATATCCTGCATATTTTTGTATATAATCTCATAGTGTTGTTGCAACTTCTTAACTCATACAGGGTTTTTTTGTTTGTGTTTTCATCTTTTTCAATCCAAGGTAAAAATTGAAAACCAGCATGACTTCCAAGACATTGTAAGTGTGGTAGCAATGGCCAAAACTTACGTCACAACAGAGAATTTCATCGACTCCAAATATGATATCAGAATCCAGAAAATTGGCAACAATTACAAAGCTTACATGTGAGTTTGGTATCGATTCTGGGGTTATATTCTAGTCTAATTAAAAAAAACTCTTGGTGTTCTTTGATTAAATAATTTATTATGTTTCAATATTACCACTGTAATAGGCCTAACTGACTGCCTATATGAGTATATGTTATAGGTGAGAGATCTGTAAATGCAAATAATTCACACTGGCGATTGCTGCTGCCTTGGTACATGAGATAAGAAAATTAAAGTAGAAGGTTGGAGTTATAAAGTAATAATACACTTTAGATATTATAAAGTAACAATATTATAAAGTAATAATGAGGACCACACAAATGCTAAGACATTGCAGCAGCTGTAGGACATGGCAGTTGAAGATTTTAGTGAGTACTGAGCCAAATATTGAGGTTTTGGTGGCAGGGTTCACCAAAATCTGTGGCATGCAACATATTCTAGGTAAGGGAGTCTCCTAGTGCAGAAATTAAGGTGCTCTGGCCATATCAGATCTTGGGAGAAAGTGGATTGGACATCTCTGACTAAACTTTGTTATTTGCTTTCACTTCTCTGCTGTCCTGAAAAATCTTTCTTCCCATATGTCCCCCGTTTCCCACATTTTTGTCTTTTCTTAAAGCCATAAACTTATACGCTTTACTGTTTGCCATCTCTATATCTAGAACAATTAAAATTGATGCCTTTTGATTTTGGAAAGCCCTAAAAACTAGTTATTGTCTCTAGTAGAACCTTAAACTAGAAATCCTATGAAAAACAAAACAAAAAACATGCATAACAAACTGTTTGAGAACCTCTAAAAGCCTTGCAAAATGCAGAAGAAAAAATAGGTTTGTAGGCTTTAATCAAAGTACCACTAAGCATCTTGTGGCCCTTTAAAGGCTGACCATTTTTATTTGGTAAAAGCTTTCATGAAATGTTAACTACAGTAAAAAAAAAACACATCCCAAATGAAACATGTTAGTTTTTAAGATATCAGAAGACTAAGTATTTTTCCTGCAATGGACTAGAACAACTCCCCCTGCTAAAAAAGAACACCCAAATAACTATGTTCGAGCAACAAAAAAATCATGTCAGAAAATAGTTTTTAGAGCAGTAACCCAATAACATATGTAATCCAGATACAATATTTATTCATGGAAGCTGCTGAAAAGATCAATACATCACTTAACACAGTTGTACAAAAGGATAAAGACAAATATTTTACACTGACCAATTTCATTAAAATATTGCAAGCAAGCTATTACATTACCCAGAATGTTTGATCAGACTGAATGGAAGGAAATCATTATCAACTGGCATAAGAGACCGTTGTCAGACAGCTTGCAGCTTCATTCAACAAACAGATGGGGCCAATGAAACAGCATTACTTTCATCTGTTGTTTCTTTCAGAAACTGCAGATGTGCATATTTTATGTGCATCTGGTTAGTTGATGGAAGTGAAGTCAAGTTGGCATTTATCTTTTCCTTGAGAAAATGTATGTAGGCAAAATGTATGAAAACTAAATTTCAGTTTTAGGCAGTAATGTCTCCTTATGTAAAATGGTTCCTGAACAATAACAACTTTGTTCAGGGGATTAAAGTATGATTATTTCCTCAGCTTGTTAGCATTGGGTTACAAAATGGAATAGTCATTGTAATTAAGGGATTTTTGTTACATGTTCTTGCTTTCCTAGTGCACTAAAATGCCTGAACTACAATTATTGAGGCAAATTATTTCAGTCTTGAATAATGCAAAGAAGTGTATTTTATACTTGATTTTTAAATCTCAGAATGGGAAAGAATGCTTACTTTGTTTTAAATGATGCATCATGGCAGGAGAAAGAACTGGAATTAGAATATTTCATATGGGCTCTGGAATAGTTCGAGCTTTTGGGAAGCTTTCTCTTTTCTCACGTTTTTCTGTGACATAGATAATCATGACGCTCATCAGCTGGGGCATGTTTTGTAAATGTGGCACACAAAGCTCGGACAATCATCTTTGCCAGCAAGACTAGCAGCATGCAAAGACACTAGCAGCTCGTTATGAGAAATTCTTTTAATAACTCTTGAAGAGTCGTCCAAAGAAGCTGGTGGGTGGCTTTTAGTGCCATTGACTCTACAGCGGCAAAGCACTATATTTCAACCACAATAAAAAGCAGACTCAGTGAAAGCCAGCTTTTCTTCAGTGTTTTGCTCAGATGGCCCCTTTTTTTAGTACACTCTAAAGCCCACTGATGTCTGTGGGAAGCTTTTTCTTGCTTTTCTGGCATGGCTTTCTGTGCAGTTTCAATTCCACAGTGTGGAGTGCAAGGTTAATTATTCCACCAGCTTTTCACAGACATTTCTACTGTACAAAAGCTGACATACCCGGAAGAGAGTTCATAAGGCCAGTAAAGGAATACCCAGCCAGTTTCTGGATAAAGATGTAACTAGGTGGGAGGATGCCAACACACAGGGCGAAGTTCCTTCCCAGCTTATGGATCTAGCTACACATTTCCTGGGCCATCAGAAATGGTTAAGAGCACAGAGGATAGCAGGGCTCAGAAAACCATTGTCTGCCAACATACACACTGTTCTGCTCCCTTCATTTCCCCCCTTCTGTCTTGAATTTGGAGAGGAAATTGCCATGTTTAGGGGGATTGATTGTTCTCATGTGGCTTGTTTGTTTTTCCCAGGAGGACATCGATCTCTGGAAACTGGAAAGCAAACACAGGTTCTGCTATGTTGGAACAGATTGCCATGACTGAGAGGTAATGAATAGAAGAACTACAGCCAAAAGTGCAAGCCTTGGGTCAGGCCTAGGCCTGCATTAACCATTCGCCCCAAAGCCTGCTACAGTAGTGCAGAGGTCCCATTTGTATTTTGCATTCTGATCTGAGGCCTGCAGGCCATCTGCTTCCTAAGAAAGGAGAGAACTAGAACATTGTCTCTGTTGCTATCCACAGTTCTGCATCTCCCACCTACACTACTGTAATATTCTTTCTTCAGATGAATAAATGGAGGTGCGCTATATTTGTTGCCTTTCTTGAGTCTTAAAGTAGTTGCGTAGCAAAGCATCTGGATTGCATGCAGAAGAGCCTAACATCCGTTTTTGTGTCTCCAGACAGTGGTAGGACACATTGAAGAGTTGTTTTCATGCATTATAGTTAATACCGAGCTAGCTGGTCTGACTCACTATTAAGCGATTTACTAAATATACATCCAATACACTTACAAGAAGGTATAATCTATAATAGAAATTTACAAATACTGTAATAAATCACAAAGACAATTAATTATTTCCTACAATGAAATGCTTTTCAATAGAGAAATTGTGTTATGCTTGAAGTGCCCCATATGTAAGTACTTAACACACATGCATTTCTGATCTATCACATTATTACTCTAGAAGCAGGAACATAGATGGTTCATCCATCTTCTGTTTTCTCCTGAGATTTTTTTTCTGTAAGGAGAATGTTTCATATTCATATGTTCAAGTATATCTTTGCACACCTAAAATTTAGAGACTTGTGAACCAAAATCTTTTAGGACTCAAACAAGGAGTTACAAGTTGCATTGAAGTGCTTTGAAACCATTAGCTTATTATTCCTAACCCCTGCGTTTGATTCTTGATTGAGACTAACTACCTATTAAATTTCATATTTGCATTTAGTTAGAATCTGAACTAAGATTTGCCATCTCTTCTGTTCATTCCCTCTTTCTCATTCCTTTGTGAAAAGCCATTCTTTTATCATGATTTTCATGCAGTCCCTGAGATACATCAGCACGCCTTGCATTGCCTTATATATTAGCATGGATAACCTGTTTGATTCATAAGGTTAATCCCCACGGTCAACAGTGCATTCCTTGGCACCCCTCACTTCATAGACACTCAGTGTGGGAAAGAATCAGCTCACTTATGTGAATTTATTCTAACTTTGCAACTCCTCTGCCAAAAAAAGGTATTCAAATTATCACCTCTGGCTCCTATCGTTCTCTCTTCTCCAAGTTCTTTGTCATTGTGGGACAACAGTGGAAGCAACAACAACAACATTGTTTACAGTGGTCTCAGTTAGAAATCCAGTCAGGAACTGTCTCCATCAGTTGCATGAGCTTTTACTTTCAGAGGTCTGTTTTGTGGCTCAGATAATGTGACCCAATACAAATGCCCAAGACATTTTGTAATCAGAGGCAGAATGTGTGTTGATGGGACAGAGAGCTCCTTAATTTTTTTAGTTACTTTATTTATACCCTGCCTTTCTTCCCATGAGGACACCTTGTGCTACCAATCCAAAGGCATTCTGCAGCTGTTTCTTCCTTGATAGACTTGTAGATGTTTGATAAGAAAAAATAATTAGGAAACGACTAGATGGTTACATATGGAAAGATAGCAAAGACACCCATCTGACCCCTTGATAAAATTTAATTTTTAAACAGGCTGACTTTAAATCTTGAAGGATAAAAAAAACATAGTTATTTTGAGACTTGAGCCTGAAAACCCTACAAGTGCAAGAAGGAAAGGCAATCATATTGAGGGAAGGGCAGGGTATACTCAAAGGGAGAGATCTTACCTTACAAGCATGGCTATTATAATGTTGTAGAAAGACACATTCTTTGTGACATCAGAAAAAACAAAAAAATGAGATGTCACATGTATTTTTTTCCTGGAAGTACTGGAAGAAGCTCAATATGCTGGCAGAAGTTGCCTAAGGGGAATAGAAAAGACCACAAAAGGAAGAAGAAAGCCTTTCCTCTCTACCTTCTGCTCTGTGTAATTCTGACAGGAAAATTAGAAAAGTTAGTTCCTTTCCCTTCAGCAATTTGTTGTTTATTCGTTCAGTCACTTCCGACTCAGTGTGACCTCATAGACCAGCACACACCAGAGCTCCCTGTTGGCTATGGCCACTCCCAGCTCCTTCAAAATCAAGCCAGTCACTTCAAGGATACCATCCATCTTGCCCTTGGTCAGGCCCTCTTCCTTTTTCCTTCCATTTTCCCCTTTAGCAATACCTGCTCCTATACTCTACAAGACTATTTGCTTCCTTCACAAAATTTAGTAGTTTGACGTAGCCATCTCACTCTTCCTAAAGATAGGGATGGCCTTCATAGGATGTATATGCCTTTATTGGTTGTGTTGAAGGGAGAATTTTGACAAGTGAAGTGATTTTTATCATGTCGAGAGAGGATCACTTCCATCTTCTACCCTACTGTGTACAGAGCAAAGGTTCTTTTATGAACTGCATTTGTCGTCATCCCCCCTTGGCTCTGGAGAAAAAAAGATGCTTCAGAAAAGTTTTTTCATTAACATCCCCAAGGCTGCTTAAGTCAGATCAGAATTTCAGAAATAATGGGACACTTGAGTATTGGAGTGGTTGAAAGCCTTTTGTTCTATGAGACTTCAATAGATTGGAATAAACTAGACATTCTTTCATATAAGCAACAAACAAATGATTGTCCCAAAATGCTTGTATTCACAAAATAGTTCAGACAGTGAGCATGGTTTAGCAACAACCAAAAATTAATGTCAGAAGATGTATTAACACACCTGCATTGTCACACCCAGGATGTCTATTATTCAACAGAGAAATGATGGCTATGATAAATACAAACATATTCCTTGTCTTTCAATCAGTTTTTCAAATGTTTGACAAATGTAACTAATAACAAGTGTATAAGAGATTTAGCTAGCAGATAAAAAGGAAGGAAGGAAACAGCTCATCAACAACAGTATGAGCAATACATACCATTAAAAAAAATCAGGAACAAAAAAAATCTGTATTTAGTGTGATCCCTAATGGCTTAAAATAATCAGCCGAGGAACTTGATGAATGGATAAGGGGAGAAAGTTTCAAGGATGAAACGTTAAATGAAAAGACTATTCCTGTTACTCACTACCCTCACAGGGCCAGTTTCAGAGATCAGTATCATTGGGAGCCTTCAGAGGATACCAAGTTAGGAAGGGACCTGAAATTTACTACTGAAACCTTCTAGACTGTTTTTCCCCTCCTCTTATCACTTCATCTTTTCAGCACATTCAGTTTTTTTCTTGAATTTAGTTTATTATGAGAAGAGGAGGCTGAAAAGGATAACCATACTTCTATTTTCCCCTTAAAGGACAGAGACCAGGAAGTATGTCCATCACTGGAGAAAATGTTCAGTTCTTGAAATATCTTTCTAAAAGAAGCAACACAATGTTTATTTAAGATCAATTGTATTCCACTATTTAAAATTGTAGATGCCACACTGGAGTAACAGCAGAATTCAGAATTTGCAGTCACAGTACTAATAATTAGTGAAAACATTTCAAAAGACACAAAATGGTGTGTGCACATGAGGGCATGTTGGTATTGCCTAGCTGAATGAAGAGCTATGGTTTCAGTACTAGGTAGTTGCTGTCACTTATGAAGTAGCTCTTGAATTCTGAAGTACAAGCACTCATCATGACAGCCCTGAGAGTCTAGGAATGCAGTCATGTGATGTACCAGCTGTGGCTATCCAAACATGCACATAGACATTGCCAAAACCTGCTCAACCAGATTCAGGAGCTATCCAAACTTTGACCCCATTCTACACAGGTTGTTTCACTGTTCTCCGATCTGCCTTTGGACTAAGTAGGAGCATCTCTTGCTCAGATTAAGCTAAATTAAAGCTTTTATCCAATCCGTTATTCACTTTCTTGTATTTTAACAGAGAGGGGTCATCAGCATATTAGTGGTACTGAGCCTAATAACCTCTTATGTACACGTTTGATAGCAGGAGCAGACAATGGTTCTCAATCTGTGAGGCCCTAGGTGTTTTGGCCTACAACTCCCAGAAATCCCAGCCAGTTTACCAGCTGTTAGGATTTCTGGGAGTTGAAGGCCAAAACATCTGGGGACCCATAGCTTGAGAACCACTGCCATAGATGAATAAGAATGACACCTAAGGGGAGCAACCCATCACTATTCTCTAAATCTATCTCTCCAATGAGAATCTACTATCTCCAATGAGAAGCTATTGTAAAATAGTTTCTCCAGGTTCATCCACATACTTCAGAAGAATACTATGGTCCATTATTTTGAAAAGCATTTAAAAGCCTTAGCCAGAAAGCTTCAGTGACTCACCAAACTCCTAGCCCCAGGCTTCCATGAACTTGACTCACAAGAAAGTGGTACTCTAGCACTATTACATTTAGTTGGAAAGATCCCCAGATTGAAATGAATCAAACAGTGTTTCCAACTTATTGAGCCTTCCAACATGACTATATTAGCAATATATTTAATGAACAAGAAACCATCTATATCATTAATGTATTTGAAGCATCCTCGTTTATTCCAATGTCCTATGAACTTTTGTAGTCTACGTGTATGTGTAAAACATAAAGATACTGATATCTCTGACTTTTAAAAATGTGGGCTCATATAAACAATCCTATTTTGTTTCTGTAGATACCGGCTTTGGGCAGATACTGTAGCTGAGATGTTTGGAGGCCTTGACATTTGTGCAGTTAAAGCTGTCCACAGTAAGGATGGGAAAGATTTCATCATTGAGGTGAGAGGCTGAACAAGTGGAATTTAAGTGTCCTTCAAGCAAATGTTTAGGAAGGCATACATTACAGCGAGAGAGAGAGAGAGAGAATGCTGTGCAAAGATTTCTGCGTACTACCTTCTTCTGCTTTGCCCCATGGCCAATTCATTTTGTAGTAAGGCATAGAACATAAAAGAAGCATCTCCTCCATTTTTAGATTTTAAAAAGATGTTTAGGCTTAATTAGTTATTGTTTTCATTTGAACAGTAGTGTTGACTGACAGGAAGGAAGGACTTGATTCAGGACTTCAAAGCAGAAATGACTACAATGGCAAAAGGAAAATAAGATCTTCTACAAACAGTTGGTCAGTGCTCACAAAAAGCCATTGGCTATTTTGATCGTATGGCATGCGCCTGAGATTTACTTTCTGTTTTGTTCCCAGCCTTTCTTCAAAGGGGTTGGACTCTACACCCCTTACTACCTTTGTAATTCTCCTCTATCATGATCATCAACATTTCTATATATACGCCTAAACTGAAATAAGGTCCTCTCCTGTATATCTTGGTTCTCTGGCAGACAGATATAATAGATCTAGTTTGTTGATGTCCTTCTTTAACAGTAACACCCAGAACTACTTTGTTTGAACACAAAACCAGACTTTTCTGACACTTCCTAAGTTTGCAGTAGCATTTTTTGCTACTAATTGTAAGCATTTTTAAAGGAAATTTCAGAGGACAACTAGCTAGAGGCTGGAAAACATAAACATTTTTTTAATTATGGCTCACAGAATTCCTTTGCCAAGATGACCAAGCTCCGGTGTTAACAGGTATGCTCATACCTAGCTATTATTTTTTCTCCTTGTGGTCATATCCAAAATAAAATATCTGAAATCTCAGTGGTACAAATTATCCAAGTTTCTATTTAAGTGAAATAGGAGGCACTCTTCAGGCAGCTTGTAGGTGGAATAAACAATAACTGGAAACTCTTTCTTCTCATGGAGGTTTTTAAACAGAAACTGGATGGCCATTTGTTTGGAGTGCTTTGATTGTGTCTTCCAGAATTGCAAGGGGTTGGACTCGATCACTTCTGATCTTTTCAAAATCTATGATTTAATGTCTCAAAAACTAGAATTTTGAACTAAAACTTGCCATGCTTAAAGGAAAGGACCAAAAGAGAGTGGTAAATATTTGTAAAGCAGGCCAGAAGGAGATACCAAAGTTGAAATGTACAATCTTCTCAGTAGGAGAGGATAATCAAACAATTGTATGGAAGAATGAGGTAGTGTCCTTGGTTATACCATATGAGGATGGTGGGACAGAGACTCGGTGTCTGCCCTGCTGTAAACTCCACCAACGCAAGATGAGCAAAGTCGGCCTACTGCTACATTCAAGGCCACTGACACATCCAAGGAATTGTATGTGGGAGTATGCTCCCACCCACTGAGCCTTGGAAAACTGATGAGAACCACATGAGCCCTGCTGCAATAGCACATTCTTGCGCTGCAGAAGAATCCTGCAGGAAGAGTGATGGGTCAAAGGTTGTGTGGGACAAGTGTACTGCCAGGAAGGGAAATATATTTGCTCTCCAGCTGCTTCTGCTATCCCTCCTTTTCCTGTAAATCATTCAAGAGCAGGTAATGCAATGGTGACTGCCTTTTCCTGTAAATCAGGCCAGAGCAAGTAATAGAATGGTGACCGCCAGACACTTGAGAAGACTTCACAAAATCCTACCCAGCAAAGGTCTGATCTAGAATTCAGTATGAGATCCATGGCAAGAGGAAAAGAGTGGCTCCAGACTCTTTCATGTTTTAGTTTTCTTAACAAGCCATATGTAAGGCCCCTTCCACACAGCTGAATAAAATCCCACATTTTCTGCTTTGAACTGAAATATATGGCAGTGTGGACTCAGATAACCCAGTTCAAAACAGATATTGTGAGATTTTGATGTTCTGGAATATAGAGCTGTGTTGAAGGGCCCAAAGAAATTATGTTGCTGTTAATAAAAGTCTATGTCTGCAGGGCTCCAATGTAAGAAGATATGGTAGGAAAGAAGAAAAGTAGAGTTAAAAAGAGAGAAGAATCCATTGGGAACTATTGGTGTGAACACTGATGAATGTAGTTGATCCAGTTTCTGATGCAAACAGAAGCTTCCTTCCTAATGTCAATAGCAGCTGTCTGTGTTGGGAGCAAATAGTTAAACACTTCCCTCCAAGGATAATCAAATGAAAAGGAGGGCATGTTTTGTTTAACAGTTATGTATAAGAGGACAGGAATTTCTAATACAAGCTTTGTTGTTCATTCGTTCAGTCGTCTCCGACTCTTCGTGACCTCATGGACCAGCCCACGCCAGAGCTCCCTGTCGGCCGTTACCACCCCCAGCTCCCTCAAGGTCAGTCCAGTCACTTCAAGGATGCCATCCATCCATCTTGCCCTTGGTCGGCCCCTCTTTCTTTTATCTTCCACTTTCCCCAGCATAATTGTCTTCTCCAGGCTTTGCTGTCTCCTCATGAAGTGGCCAAAGTACTTCAACTTTGTCTCTAGTATCCTTCCCTCCAGTGAGCAGTCGGGCTTTATTTCCTGGAGGATGGACTGGTTGGATCTTCTCGCAGTCCAAGGCACTCTCAGAACTTTCCTCCAACACCACAGCTCAAAAGCATCGATCTTCCTTCGCTCGGCCTTCCCTAAGGTCCAGCTCTCACATCCGTAGGTTACTACAGGGAATACCATGGCTTTGACTAGGCGGATCTTTGTTGCCAGTCTGATGTCTCTACTCTTTACTATTTTATCGAGACTGGACATTGCTCTCCTCCCAAGAAGTCAGCGTCTTCTGATTTCCTGGCTACAGTCTGCATCTGCAGTAATCTTTGCACCTAGAAATACAAAGTCTGTCACTGCCTCCACATTTTCTCCCTCTATTTGCCAGTTATCAATCATTCTTGTTGCCATAATCTTGGTTTTTATGATGTTTAGCCGCAACCCAGCTTTTGCACTTTCTTCTTTCACCTTGATTAGAAGGCTCCTCAGCTCCTCCTCGCTTTCGGCCATCAGTGGTGTCATCTGCATATCTGAGGTTGTTAATGTTTCTTCCTGCAATTTTCACCCCAGCCTTGCATTCATCAAGCCCCGCACATCGCATGATGTGTTCTGCATACAAGTTAAAAAGGTTGGGTGAGAGGATGCAGCCTTGCCGTACGCCTTTCCCAATCTTGAACCAGTCTGTTGTTCCATGCTCAGTTCTGACTGTTGCTACTTGGTCCTTGTACAGATTCCTCAGGAGAGAGACAAGGTGGCTTGGGATGCCCATCCCACTAAGAACTTGCCACAATTTATTATGATCCACACAGTCAAAGGCTTTAGAATAGTCAATAAAACAGAAATAGATGTTTTTCTGAAACTCCCTGCCTTTCTCCATTATCCAGCGGATATTGGCAATTTGGTCTCTCGTTCCTCTGCCTTTTCTAAACCCAGCTTGTACATCTGGCAACTCTCGCTCCATGTATTGCTGGAGTCTTCCTTGCAGGATCTTGAGCATTACCTTACTGGCATGAGAAATAAAGGCAGCTGTATATTGCTAGAGTCTACCTTGCAGGATCTTGAGCATTACCTTACTGGCATGAGAAATAAGGGCCACTGTACGGAAGTTTGAGCAGTCTTTCGCATTTCCCTTTTTTGTTATGGGGATATAAGTTGATTTTTTCCAGTCTGATGGCCATTCTTGTGTTTTCCATATTTGCTGGCAAATGGCATGCATCACCTTGACAGCATCATCTTTTAAGATTTTAAACAGTTCAGCTGGGATCCCGTCATCTCCTGCTGCCTTGTTGTTAGCAATGGTTCTTAAGGTCCATTCAACCTCACTCCTCAGGATGTCTGGTTCTAATTCATTCACCACATCGTCAAAACTATCCTCAATATTATTATCCTTCCTATACAGATCTTCTGGTATAGTCTCGCCACCTTCTCTTGATCTCTTCAGCTTCTGTTAGGTCCCTGCCATCTTTGTTTCTTATCATACCAATTTTTGCCTGAAATTTACCTCCAATGTTTCTAATTTTCTGGAAGAGGTCTCTTGTCCTTCCTATTCTGTTGTCTTCTTCAACTTCCATGCATTGCTTATTTACAAATAGTTCCTTATCTCTTCTGGCTAACCTCTGGAATTGCGCATTTAACTGGGCATATCTCCCCTTATCCCTGTTTCCTTTTGCTTTCCTCCTTTCTTGGGCTACTTCCAGTGTCTCAGCAGACAACCATTTTGCCTTCTTGGTTTTCTTTTTCTTTGGGACGTACTTTGTTGCCGCCTCCTGAACAATGTCTCGGACTTTTGTCCATAGTTCTTCTGGGACTCTGTTTACTAAATCTAGTCCTTCAAATCTGTTCTTCACTTCCACTGTATATTCGCTAGGAATGTTAGTGAGATCATATCTAACTGGTCTGTGTATTTTCCCTGATCTCTTTAGTTTTATTCTAAATTGGGCAATAAGAAGTTCGTGATCTGAGCTACAGTCAGCGCCAGGTCTTGTTTTCACCGACTGGATGGATGTCCGCCACCTTTGGCTGCAAAGGATGTAGTCAATCTGATTTCGGTGTTGACCGTCTGGTGAGGTCCATGTGTAAAGCCGTCTTTTAGGTTGTTGGAAGAGAGTATTTGTTATACACAGCGAGTTTTCCTGGCAAAATTCTATCAGCCTGCGTCCCGCTTCTTTTTGTTCTCCCAGACCATGCTTGCCTGTGATCCCAGTTGTCATTTGACTTCCCACCTTGGCATTCCAGTCTCCTGTAATGAAAATAATGTCTCTTTTTGGTGTATTATCCAGTAGGTCCTGCAGATCCTCATAGAACTGCTCTACTTCTGCTTCTTCAGCAGTTGTGGTTGGGGCATATATTTGGATCACTGTGGTGTTAAATGGCTTGCCTTCAACTCGAATTGAGATAATTCTGTCATTTTTTGGATTGTATCCAAGCACCGCTTTAGCGACTTTCTTATTAATTATGAAGGCTACTCCATTTCTTCGATGTTCCTCTTGT